GAAAGGGTTAAGAAGAAATGGAAGACTTTATAAGCCATCATCTGTTTTCTTGTCTCGAAACCAGATTCGCGCATAACTATCCTAAAGTATATATATATATATATATATATATATATATATATATATATATAATATATAAAAGATAATCCTAAGGAGGCAAAACCTACCTAGGATTCACCTAAACGGATCTTCATGGTAAAGCCGACTTTACACTAAAGATCTGTTTAGGTAAAACCTAGGTAGGTTTGCCTGGCTCCTTAGGATTATCTTAGGTTTGCTCTACTTAGTGTATTTACGGGGGTTGTCTTTTTACTGTTTTTTTTTTCTTTAGACTTGGAGCTTAAACACTGGACGATTGTTTTTGCCTTGTTTTAATGTTCCCAGTTCCGACCATCCCATATTCCCCAGATCCCGTCCAATACGACTTTTTCCACTTCAAAAAACAAATCCTATTTGAATGTAATAAGATTTCAAGACGTCGAGGAAGATGCTCGCTATCCTAAAGAAAGATTTCTAGAAATGCTTCCATTACTGAAAACGACAGTGGAAAAAGTGTGTGGTTCCAGAATGGGACTATTTCGAAGGGGATTAAATTTTCTTTTTATAGCATCAGTCCCGATGCTTTTTGATCAGACCTCGTATGTTGATAAAGCTTTACGAATGAGGAATTCTATTCTTGTCACCATGTACCTGAGAAGGACCTTTTCTTTTTTTCAGGTATAGTCGAAACATGATGAACTTACAATGTCCGCTTCTAGCACGAGGGACGCCGTACTTTATGCTTGAATGGCAAATGGTAAGCTATTTACTTGATATCTATGATAAAGATTAAAGGTAATCCCGAAAAACATGTTTGCATGTAATCAATATTCGATTAATAAAAATGAGTTGTCTCAAAGCTAATAGAAAAGCAGTATGTAAAGGTAATGGTTGGTAGTGCCACCGTACCTAAACTTCATAGAAATTGCTAAATCTATATCTGCTATGCTTTTTTTCATCTGATGATTTCATGTGAATATTGGCTAGATTAAATATGACATTATCGGAGTTCGAACGAGGCATGATATTGCGTGTCAGACGGATGGGATATTTCTTAGAATTGTGGGGACATTTGACATCTCTCGATATACTGCGACGCATATATACCGGGAACACCCAATGGAAAGCATGGACAGTGTAGTTGCAGACCATATGTTCCTCTGGCAAGTGACACCGGCTAAAATTGCAGGTCAGTTAAGCGGTCTTCCAGGGGATATGAGCACAGAAGACCCATCAGAGAGACCCTCTTGTTACAGAATTTTCATCTTGGTTAACAATGGCAAACTAATAGTCGAAAGTTAGATGATTCGAACTGAGTGGTGGGGTGGTTTGAAAAGTCCATGGGCATGGAATACTGACGGTGTTCAGTTGGCTTTTCTTCAAGGTTTCAATACAAGACCAAAACGTCGCGAAGACACTCAGACGTCTGCAAGAATTAGAAGGGTCAAGAGATGCTTCGATTTCTTAGTGGGCAGCCAACACGTGGGAAATGAGACTTTGTCCTAGAAAATTAGACTTTGATCATGTTGTTCATGATGACAGTCGTCTTCGAGTATAGAATCCAGAGGTTAGCAGTGAATATTTCGAAGACAGTAGGAAAGCGTTGTTCAGGTTAGCAGTGGATATTTTGGTAAAAGTAGCAGAGCGTAGTTCGTCTTTCTGTTTCTCTTCGCTTGACAAGCTGGCACTGGACATTCGGATAGAGTAAACAAAATGGCCGCCTTTATACACGACGGATTGAATGTTCTACGTTTCCTGATTGGTTAACCTTCTATTGGTGGACTATAAAGTGAGTCAAGTCATTTGGGCTAACTCACTGGTAGATAGATATACACACAAAACTGCAACAGATCACACTGTCCCTCACAAAATAAAGTTGATAAAAAAAGAACATTTTCAGTTTGTTGATGGAGTCTATGATGCATCGTTGGGGTCGGAAGAATTAAAGTTGAAGACGACAGGAAGCATAACACGTTTAACATCATGACACCAGATAAAATATTTCATCTGAGCTGGTGACGTCGCTAATAGGAAAGTAGAAAACTGGTGACATGTGACGTCGTCCGATGAGTCATGTTTCCAGACTGATAGTAGGGTTCAGGGGTGTCACAGACCCCATAAGGTTAGAGACTCAAGTTGTTATCTAAGGCTCTGTGCAGACTGAAGCTAGTTCCATAATAGTGCAAGGTGTGTTCAGTTGGCATGGATTGGTTCCACTGGACCGCTTCAACATGTGTCCTGGCTCAGTGGATAAAAGCGTTGGTTAAAACCAGTGATTAGACCCAAAGAGTTGTGAGTTCAATACCTGGCTATAGCTGAGATGAAAAAAAAAAACTTGAAGAGTTGAGTTAAAGAAAGATAACTGAAACTGAGACGCCCGGAAGAGGCATGGCACGTAGAAATAAAACAGTCTACCCCGGTGGAGAAAATAAAGGGTTCAGTTCGAAATTCCAATCACCTAATGAAGACCGGATCGTACAACGGCCAGTTGAAACGTCGTGAATATGGCAATAAAGATGAGGACAACAGTCCGAGCAATGTAAATAATGAAAGTTTACCTAAAATTTAGTACAAAAAAGCTGGGTGAATTTATAATTTTCGACATAACCTAAGTATTATTAAGGAAAGAAAAAGAATAAACATTATCATCTTTTTTAAAAGTTACTTATATATATAAGGTGTTTGCAGGATCTTTCGCAGTCTGATCACACACCACGGGAGACCTATTGCCGATGGTTTATTGCACAAACTGCCAACCCGTTGTTTGTCTCTTCCGTCTTGTTTACGGATGAGAAAACAATTGAAAGAGATGGAATAGCAAATTTACACAACCAACATTTGTGGGCGGATTGGAATCCCCAATGGTACAATACAGGTTAATTTAGGATTAATGTGTTGGCTGGAATTCTAGGTGATGTCTGGTAGTTTCGTATATGCTCCCAGCACGTCTACACGGACTTTATTTCGAACAAACTTCCAGACCTGCTAGAGGATGTACCCCTGCTAATAGGAAGACACATGTGGTTCAACCATGATGGGGCGTCAGCACATTTTAGTCACATTGTTCGCGATGCACTGGCTGACATCTACCATAAAAGATAGATAGGGAAGGAAGGACCGGTACCAGGGCCTGCACGTCCCCCACCCCGACCTCAATCTTTTGGATTTTTATCTGTGAGGCAACCGAAAATAATTGGTTAATGTAGGAAACATTAATAATACAGAGACACTTTATCAACGAGCTATGGGGATCTGCGAAATCATTCAACACCGTGTGGGAGTATTTGAATGGGTCCACCAGTCAATGATCCGACGGTTTCATGCGTGTGTAGAAGCAAGCGGAAGATATTTTTAACATTTGTCTCTAGTGTAAAAAATCAAAGAAAGAATGAGGAAGTTATTCAAGTTTTTATTTTAAGTAGTACGAAAAACCTGAAATTTTCACAGTTTTTTGCAAGCCAATGTCACAGGAAAACTATCAAGCACTTTACATAAACCTTTTAATATGAGATATGCTTTGTATTAAGTGCAAAGAACATCAGCTCATCCACTAAAAATTGTGTTCGCGTGTAACTTTGCCTTGGTTTTTGCAAAAAGTCGTATCCACCTTCAGTTTTATCAATTTTTTCTGCCAAACCCGGAATGGGGACTGGAGATTGAAAAGTTGGTCCTTACCTATTTTGGTAAATTTGCAATGTGTATACAATTTCATCGAAATCGGCCGTGAAATGTGGACGTGCATAAATAGCGCGCGCACACACACACAAACACACACACACAAATAGACGTCTTCTGTTTTATATATATATGTGTGTGTGTATTTAAGCAGCACATTCTCTTTTAGTCATGTCTGATTGAATAAATTACAGACATTATGTCTGCTAATTTTTAATAAAATCCGTTCATACCTTCCATGTATTGATGTTAAAGGATTAAAGAAATGTACTATAGCTGTTTAAATTTCTTTTATTTAATTGCCCAAGTACTTCTTCAAAGGTGCAAGTAGTACAAAACTGTTGTTCATTAGTACAAGTATTTATACAAAATTAAGCGTTGTTATCCATTTTCGTAATTTTTTCATTATGCTTTTAAATGCAAAACGGTTGATAGTGTGCTAAGCGTTCATTAGGACAGGAAAAAATTATCCTTTATGGAAATTTTTTCTTCTATGTTATAATGTCATAGTCATGCACGTATTCAAGCATGAACAAACTGTTCCTTTACAGGCATTTCAGAACATTACTGCAGTATTCATAGTTGATTCTGTTCAGTGCTGGATTTAATTTTTTTAATATAAATTGCTTCTTGTATCTGTAATCTAAGTTATATATGTTGTCTTTCCCGGAAAATAATGAAAGCTGTAAATTTCCGGGTTACGTTCGGAAAAATATCGAGATAGAAGAAAAGAAATCTTCCACGAAGAATATTGCATCTGATAATTAAAAAAAAATACTTGGATAATATTCTTATTCTTAATCCAGATTATAAACGAGCCAATGAATATGAATAAAATTGTGAGTTATACATTTAAAAAATATATTTTGCGTTTTATTTCTAAATTTCAAAGACGAATTGTATATTTTCAGTTACCCTTATATATTTTTTCTTCAGTTAATATTTTCTATAGCGTGAAATGTTTTCGCTTTTATAACGTCAAGACTGAATCCTTCGCACTTACTAAGGGTAGCAAAGCACGGCACAAGGCCAATTTGTTGTGGAAGTACAGAATGTTTGCGTTGCGGCAATCCTTCCCATATCGGAAATCAATATTGAAACCTTTGGCTTTTAGATCGGTTTAAATACAGATTAATGTCACAGCCAACTAACTCGTCTAATTGGCGGGTGTTCACAACACAGAAGAGAACGAGGGTAGGTTGAATAAATATCTTAACATACATTGCCCCTTTTCCATAATTGATGCTTTTGCATACACATTTAATACACATTAATTGTAACAATTATTATATGGTAGATGTGGTATTTTTTCTATTGTTGAAGACAAAGAAAGAAAAAAATAACAAAGAAAGAAAGAAAGAAAGAAATAGAGTAGTAACAAAGAATGAAGTAAGAAGAAAGAAAGAAAGAAAGAAAGAAAGAAAGAAAGAAAGAAAGAAAGAAAGAAATAGATTAGTAATAAAGAAATTTAAAAAATGGTAAGAAATAAATAAGGAAAAAAGAAAGAAAAAGAAATTGGTTATGAACGAAGACATAAGAAAGAAAGAAAGAAAGAAAGAAAGAAAGAAAGAAAGAAAGAAAGAAAGAAAGAAAGAAAGAAAGAAGGAAAGAAAGAAAGAAAGAACAGTCTGGCAAATATTAACAGAAGAGTAGTGGAAATGGAAAGAAAGAAAGAAAGAAAGAAAGAAAGAAAGAAAGACAGAAAGAAAGAAAGAAAGAAAGAAAGAAAGAAAAACCAAAGATATAGGTTATGAATAAAGAAATAAGAAAAAAAGCCTAAATAAATAATTAAATAGATACAGAAAGAAAGATGAGAAACAAAAAATGAAATAAAAATATAAAAGAAAAATAGAAAAAAAAAAGCAGTAAGGAAGAAAAATAAAAGAAAGAAAAACAGATTAGTAACAAAGAAAGAAATAACAAGATAAAAGAGAGAAAGAGGTGCAGAAAGTAAAAAGTGATAAAGAAAAACAGAAAGAAATAGATTAGTAACAAAAAGAATAAAGAAAAATAAAAGAAAATGAATAAGCGGAAAGAAGAAATCTATAAATAAAAAGATAAATAAAAATAAGTAAAGAAAGAAAGAAAGAAAGAGATTAGTAACAGAGAATGACATAAGACAATAAAAGAGAGAAAGAAAGATAGAAAGCAAGAAAGAAAAGAAAGAAAAAGAAAGGTCGAAGAAAAAGGAAAGAAAGAAAGATAGAAAGCAAGAAAGAAAAGAAAGAAAAAGAAAGGTAGAAGAAAAAGGAAAGAAAGAAAGAAAAAGAAAAAGAAAGAAAAGAAAAGAAAGAAAGAAAAAGGAAAGAAAGAAAGATAGAAAGCAAGAAAGAAAAGAAAGAAAAAGAAAGGTAGAAGAAAAAGGAAAGAAAGAAAGAAGAAAAATATTCGTAATAAAAGCACAGAAAGAATCCTCCAAAGAAATAGATTTTAAACAAAAATAGTCTTTAAAAAAAAAAAAAAAAAAATACAGCCCACGTGGAGATTTATTTGTTACGAGCCTCTTAACGCAAAAATGATTTGCATATGTAGAACATTATACACCAAATTTGCATATATAGATTTAAAAGAAAAACAAAAACTGACTCTTTTCTTCATACATAAGATATTGCTTCTCGATTTTTGTTCGAAAATTTTATAGTGTTAATATATTTGAAATTGCTGAAACTTATTGAATTTCCTTCAGTTGCTTATCATGCGTAAACATTACAGAACCACACATACGCATATATGTATACATACATACACAGGGACGTACACACGTGTATATAAGAGCACTCGACACAGAGTTATGGTTAATGGTCTTAGCTTTGTGATATGGTCAATAAGAAATAACCAAACACATCATACCTTTAATCTGCATCTCTTTGCTTTTTTTCCCGGAAGAACAAATTTAATGATACACCTCCACGCTTTGGGTGCATTTTCGTGCCAGTCGCCACTTTGCCAGACTGCTTCTCTTTAACAAGGCAACTGGTGGGAAATACAGCATCTACTAACGCTGACGTCATCGGATAATATAATAAAGTAGGAGTGACTCCTTTCGTTCTCTATATATATATATCTAGGTCTGCTCTATGGTTTTTTGAGCGCTTTTGTTAGTTAGTTGTTACTCGTATCGGGATTTTTTCTTTGGGCTTCAGACCTGCATCTGTGCGATTTTTTTGTCGGCAGAAGTTCATGTTTGTAGCTCTTTCTTTTTTTAAACCTTTTTTTCCTCGAGATTGATTTGATTATTAGCAAATCAAAATTTCGGGTTTTTCGAAACGAGTCTAGTTATCTATCTATCTATCTATCTATCTATCTATCTATCTATCTCTATATATATATATATATATATATATATATATATATATATATATATGTATGTGTGTGTGTGTGTGTGTGTGTGTGTGTACAGGATGCATTGGGTAAATTGTCGCCATTTTATATTTTTAATTTCGCGCATGCTCGTTGTTTTTGATTTTGTCGCCTGCACAATATAACAGGGTCAGTTGGGCACCGTCTATGAGAAAAAGAGCACCCAATTCACCCAGCCATGAATTTGGAAACGCCATGCTGTACTGCTTGGAATTCGCACCGGAAGCTCCAATACGAACATTTCAGTGTGTTTGGTTGTCAATGTGAGGACAGTGTAGAGGACTCGAAAAGAGTTAGATGAATCTAATGGTGATTACGAAGGCACGGCAGCTCGAAAACTCAGTGACCGTTCCGATAAGAAAAGAACTACGGAATTTGTTGGTGAGGGCCTCAGACTCAACACGGAGGCCTACATCAAGTGCCTTGAGAAGGTAGTACTGCTCTGCGTCAAGATGGTGGCTGCTGGAAAATCCTATATGTCTGGCAACAGGACTCTACACCACGCAACACAAGCACGAGAACCCAGCCATGGCTGTCAGACAATTTCTGTAACCAGATCACCCTTTATATCTGGCCTCCTAACTCCCCAGACTGCAAACCCCCGATGTAGCTTAGGGTTAAGCAAGAGACCAACAAAACTGCTTGTAACACTAAAGATGAACTGAAGGCAAGGATTATGGCAAAATTCGCAAATTTAAACAAGGTGACCGCTCAGAAGAGATGCAGAAGATTCTGGAGTCGTCCAGAGGCCGTGGCTCAAGCCAATTGGGATTTCATTGAATAAATTTACTCTCTAGTATTTCAAAATATTTTTGTGCAATTTTGGTAAATATATCTGTTAAAATGAGATGTCAGTGGTTTTTTTTTTTTTTGCATTTTTGTGTAAATGAGACAATTTATCTATCGCACACTCTATGTGTGTGTGTGTGTGCGCGCGCTTGAGTATATCTTTATTATATACATATAGATATGCATATGTATCGAGAGGAAAAGAGAGAAATGAACAATAATATACAAGATAAGTTTGCAGAAATCGATTAAGATAGATATATAAATACTAACGATAGATATTTACAGAGTTATATAAACATGTATTTACAGGCATAGATAGATAGATAGATAGATAGATAGATAGATAGATAGATAGATAGATAGATAGATGAACATATTGAGGCAGATAGGGATGAACTGTTTAAGATAGCTACGAGCATGTAAATATATATATATATATATATATATATATATATACAAACGGTCTTAGATCTCTTTACAAATATAGATATGAACATATTTAGATACATAGATATGTACACACTGAAATAGATCGTTCTATCGACAGATAGATAGATAGATAGATAGATAGATAGATGCGTACAAACTGAAATAGATATAGATATGAACTGAAAGAGAGAGAAATATAAAGAGACTGATAGATAGATAGATAGATAGATAGATAGATATGCTCAGAATCAGCTAATGTTTAATAACTTCCTATAATGATCTTAACCTACTCTTGTAATTTTTAGCTAGCACTTCAATCAGTCAAGTAGCCTGTTGTTCGATCGTCAACTTCAAATATGGTTTTAGGAATAATTACGCAAGTAACTGCAGAGTAAAGATCAAGTGATTCACGTGACAAAAGATAGTCATGTGCGACGTCGTTTAAGCCTCGTCATTCCTCATCCCGCCAAAGAGAACCTGATACTTGTCTCAGTGGGATGTTTCATCTGTTCAGCGAACGCTTTCATTGGACTGACATCGGAAAGAATTGAAGTAACCCCGACAATTCATATCACACACACACACACACACACACACACACACACACACACACACACACACACACACACGGACTCACGCGCATGCGCACGCACATTCACTTACACACATGTCGCTAATTCAGTTCAGCATTTCTATGCTCATTTGTGATGAGATCTGAAATATATTCGAAATTGTAACTTTGCTGTATTTTTCCTGTTTTTTTCATCAAATATTGACCATTACTAATGAGTTTTATTCTCACAAAAATCATAGTTAAAATACTCAAAAAAGAAAAGGTTGACATGTAAAATCAGCCAACACAAACTTTCTCTCTTTCACACGCACACGCGCGCACACATACACAGACAATTTAGATTTAATACAAATGGCAGCCATTTCTTTCCATTTGCGCAGAATTAGCAGGTTTTCTTCATGACTGCGCAGACATGCGTTGCAATCATTCAGCAAATACGCCTTCATATTCCAATAATTATTATATATATATATATATATATATATATATATATATATATATATATATATATATATATATATAAAAACAGGAAGTGATTAATAATGAGATACGGTTTATATAAGAAGGACAATCAATAAAACAACAACCAAAAGCAGTTAAATTATTAATTTTGATCGGAAATGTCCATTGTATAATGTTTAATCTACAGTGAATAATATTCACCACCGAATCCATTGCGATGACAAAGAAAGAAATCATTTTGAAAAATAAATATTTCTTATGTAAAATAATTGCGTTTTGTGTTGTTTTACCCCCTCTCTCTCTCTTTCTGTCTATATATATATATATATATATATATATATATATATATATATATATATATATATATATATATATTTCTGAGATGAGGTATTATGTAGACTATTTACATTATTCGGACTATTGTCCTCATCTTTGTGGGCATATTTGCAACAACGTTTCGGCAGTTGTGCGCTCCGGCCTTCTTCAGGTTGCTGGAATGTCGAAATGAACCCTTTATTTCGCTCACTGGGATAGACTATTCTAGTATCACGTGGCATGTCTAATGGATGTCAGTTATCCGTTATCTCCTGTTAATTCCCTTCTCCAAGTTCTCCACCGCCTTAACCAGGTATTGAACTCACATTATTTGGGTCCTGTCACTGGATGTAATTAACGCCTTTATCCACTGTGCCATGTATCCTTGGGATACTCGTATTTGAGTAGACCCCATTTTATATATATATATATATATATATATATATATATATATATATATATATATATATATATATATATATATATATGTGTGTGTGTGTGTGTGTGTGTGTGTGTGTGTGTGTGTGTGTGTGTGTGCGTGTTTGTGGGAGATATGGCAGAAGGCATCGTTACAGGAATTATATTATGGAGCACCTGATGACCTAAATTACATCCTAATGGTCACACGGCCAAAGTTTGATTCAACGGAAATCCACGGAAATTAACGAAAACGTCCCCCTACCCTGGCAATTCTACCTCCATAATATAAGTCCGGTAACGGTGCCTTCTTCTGCCATATCTCCCACTATGTCCCTTCTAACACCCTCTCTCTCTTTTCTTTCTCCAACAAACTAGTATCCCACTACAAACTGATAACATAAACAGTTTGATAAATCCTGCAATTTTAAAATTAAAATTCGTAGCTGAAAATGGTCAACTAAAGGTATCTTAATTCCAATTGTAATGAGCACATATATATATATATATATATATATATATATATATATATATATATATATATATATACAAATGAGGGAAAGAACAAATGTATTAAAATCCGCAGTTCAAAGCATTTACTTTTTTTAAAAAAGTGCTCAAATAGAGCAAAATATTATATAATAATAATAATAATAATAATAATAATAATAATAATAATAATAATATCTGCAACTTCTACGGAAGGAAAGCTGAAAGAAACTGGTATGAACACCACCCAGACCCGGTTACGGAGATAGGACCTGTTACAATTCTATGGGATTACACAATACACACTGACAGAACAATCAAGGCCAACCGGCCAGATATTGTTATTAAAGACCACAAACAAAAACGGTGCCTCTTTATTGATATGGCAGTCCCTGCTGACTGCAATGTATCTTTGAAGATATTCAAAAAGTTGTCAAAGTACAAGGACCTTGAAATAGAAATCTCGAAAATGTGGCATATGGGAACATCAACAATCCCTGTTGTAGTTGGAGCCCTAGGACTGGTTGGAAAAGATTGCAGTAGACTAACTGAAGGGATTCCTGGAAGTCCATGCCTCAAGGAGATACAAAAATTTTTTCTGACAAGTACAGCCCACACCTTACGAAGGGCTTTATCTATGTAATTTAAATTCTTTTTTTTTTCTTTTTTTTTTTTTTTTTTTGTCAGTGGAAAGTGTCATGACGCCATTTCTAATCTTAGGTCCCTGGGCGGGACCCGGAAAGAAATGTGTAAACGCCAGAAATCAAAGAAAATGATAATAAAATAATAATAATAATAATAATAATAATAATAATAACATAATGCTCGTTTGTATATGACTGTATTACTGTTTTTCTGTTAATATATTTGTTAACTCATTTCTTCTCTTTGTGTCTTTTCTGGCCCCAACAAGGTCACAACAATATATAATGTGTAGAAGTAAAAATTACAGTAAACATAAATGTCCAAACACCCAATTTTGCGTGTGTAATGGGCTGGGGGAAGATGTAAAGGAATATATTTGATGAACTTCCACAGACCGCTTTGTTTAGATCTTAGTGGTGATTTTCTTTTGGGACGTAAATGAAAAATGAATACTCCCTAACTAAACATGTATACACACACACACACACACACACACACAGAGAGAGAGAGAGAGAGAGAGAGAGAGTAACGAAAAGTCTTAATGGAGAACGTTATATAAGATAGACGACAAACTAACATTTTTTCAGTTTCAACTCAATTGTAATAAAATTTAATCTTACTGAATGTCATATTCATTGTAATTTATTGCACTTCTTTGTCAACTACTTATTTACAGGAATTTCCTCACACAAGTGGTCGCTATTATTTGGCTCACTGCTATCCCTACACATTCACAGACTTAAAAGACGATCTCGAGTCCTTATTGATAGAGCCTTCTACAAGCCAATGGTTGAAACGAGAGGTTCTTTGTGAAACAAGGGCGGGTAACTCCTGTTTCCTTCTCACCATAACCGATTTCAGTAGGTTTCATCATTTTTTTTTATTTTTATTCTTAAACTACATATATTTTCTGTGTTTATATATATTTCTTTTTTTGACTGCTTTGAGACAGACAGTTGCAAAACTGATAATCCTTTATCGTTATTTATTAGGGTTTGAATCGTATTTGCGTCTTTTACGCTGTCCTGGATCAATAATCTAGAGAACCACATATCAGATATTCGGAATCCGACGTTGCCAAGACCAGGAACACTTTTCAGTGAATCCGCAAGAATATGCCGAAAGAATATATTTAATAAAATATTTTATACCATAAAAAATATCTATTATTTATTAATCCTTCCGGTAAATGTCTCGTAAAGAGCTTTTAGCATCCCACTACCACTTTCTTATCAATGTTGAATTTTATTCAGCTTCATACAGATTTTCAAGAAATATCTGCTTCTGATTGGTCAATACACACAAGTGGGGGTTGCAATCCATACACGTACAAATTTTTTCCAGCGCGTGACCAAGTCAAGTTTCCCGCCAATTGTCTGTGATCCTGTCACATGGTTTCGCGACCATGGCTGATCAGACGTTAAAGGTATTTTCACGCATGCGCGTACGTACGAAATTTTCCAAACTACATTACAAACAAGCAACAAGAACTTTTCTCTTTGAATTACTTTTCTAAAGCTACAGTTTATTCAGCATTTCTCGGCTTTATAATTCCTTCAGCTTTTGTGAGCTTAAATAAAAATATTTTCATAATTCAGTCAAAGGGACATAACAACAACACAATAGTAAACTCCATGCATGTAAATCATTTACATACAAAAATAAATATAAATGTTGATGTTATAAAAACCATTTTTATTCCTTCTTTGCTGTTTCATATTTTGTGATATTTTACGTTAAATATAAATCGTGTGGTCATGTTAATAACAGACATCTACAAATGGTCCATTCTTATTAACATACTACAACAAGCTTTCTTCTATTTTATGAACTTAAGCGGAGTACTAGATTGGAGATTAGGTCTCATAATTTTACAGTTGAATTGGCTAGATGTAGATATAAGTTCTATACGAACGGTTTCTTCATTCGGGCTTCTCGTTTGTGGAATTCCGGTTTCTTGATTTCCAGTCAACATTAAAGATTTCAGTTGCTGTCTTCTGTCTCCTTAATTTCTGTTCTTTTATTGTTCTCTCTGTGTAATAATACTATTTTTATTTCAGATTCTTTCGCACTCTAACTATTTCTGTCCTGGTGGCTTTATCGCCTTTCTTGAGGTTGAAATGATTAAAAAATCTATAAAAAGCACGATTTGAGTTATTAAGAATTAAGAGAAAAAAAGTAAACAAAAACCTATACGTCAACCTGAAAGCAGTTTTTTTTCTAATAACAATCTTCATTTAGAATACACACAAATTTATTAGTTTTGATAGAAATTTTAATTGTTGAATCTATCATATATTTCGGCTTTTGTTTGAAATAATTCTTTTTCCTAATTCTTAATAACTTATATATATATATATATATATATATATATATATATATATATATATATATATATAGTATACGATAGTTTTTAGACGCGTGTTGAAATCCTTACAGCATTTAGTATTGTTAAATTTATCGCTAACATTTTTTGTTGAGATTTACAAACTCTACATTTGGTTTAATTTCGCAAACCAATTGATGAAATTTGAATTTGGAAAAAACAATGGAAAAGAGAGGTAACAAAGCGTAAACGAAATTACTCCAGTTTGTTCAACTTAGGAAACTTAGCATTGCAGCCAAAGTATTCTAAAATGCTGCCAATAACAGAGAAAATGAAAAATACCTAACAACAAATCGAATATAGCATCAAAATTTATATTATTTTTATTTATTTGTTATGTAACTAAATACATTGTTAACAATGTTTCCGTAAAATTTGATATTTCCTGTAATAAATTCTTAATAAATATTATTATTGTTATTATTTTACTTAAGTGTAAGGTAGTTCTACATTTACAATTCCTTAGGGCTAAACATGAAAAGAAATGTTGATCAAAACTGCTTAAAGGTTTTAATCTTTAATCGCGTATTGCCGCAAAATTATCAAATGTTGAATAAGCCCCGTCTTCGCCGAACGCGTCATATAAACGTCCATATTTTTTTTTGTCCTAAGCGTTGTTCTGAAAATTTAATCATTCTCATTTTTATTCATGTTGTTCCCAAATCATTTTACGTCTTTCTTCAGTGATAACACCCCTATGGAAAGAGACGGTCATATTGTGTTATGTATCAACTTAAAACTTATACAGTTCACGCGTGAAACACATTGGCAGGGAAGCAGATGGACTCACGTGTTATAAAAGAACCCCATATCTGTACACTAGGACACATTTAAAACACTTAGATTACACTGGGAAGAAACTTTTTTTTTACATAGCCTAAGTGTCGTTTTGTACAAAACATAATTACCATAATTATGCATGTGATATTATTGCCTCCCAAATATAGAACTAAACAGAGATGTATTCATTGAAAAAAAGGGATAACAGAATTCCTAACTTTAGGATGACTAATGGAGCGACTATTTCCTGAAAGGTAACCTGGATAGATCGTGAATTTATATGGAGGCCGGCACGGAGTGAAACAAGACGCGTCCGTGCAGTATGTTGGCTGGCGAAGGAAGAGAAAGATTTCTCGGCTACATGGCCAAAGGGAGTTAACCTTCATTTCTTTACCAAAGGCAGACAATTGATATCGGTAGAGTATCATTGTCCGCTTTGTCCAAGGTAGACAACGATAAAAGAAACAAAACATTGAAACGTTCAAAGCGACATTTCTACTTCGCTTTTTTGCTTTTCTAAAATTTACACATTATTTGCATCATTTTTGAAAAATTTAATAGAAACATTTTCAAATTATATTAAAAGATAATTCATCTGAAAATATTCCTAAATTGGTATACATTTATCCAATATATATATATATGTATACACAGGGTGTAACACCAAATTTGACAAAATTGTTCAATTGCTAGATTAAGCTGTGAATCGTTGTATCTTAGAAATGATTAAAGATATCTTACTGAAATTCTTCGAGATTTTTATAACACTATTAGACTTTACTTTGAGCAATAAGAATGTATAGTTACTCTCCAAGCTTAACAGAAGAATTGTGATGAAATCGATCATAGACCAAAATGACATGTTCATCATAAATTAATCATGACTAAGGATTGGAACTCATGAAGGACTGAAATTAAGTTCAATTATATATTTTTTTTTCTAGGGTCATTTTCCAACTTTTCAAGATGATCTTCGCCCTCTTTAACATTCTAACTTTCTGTCCTTGTGTAACGAGGTGCCTCACACATTTCATGAACGATTTCATTTTCAAGTCTTTTTTCACTGTTCTTTGGACTGTCATAGCTGAAACTCCTCTCTCATGTGACATACATCTTATGGATTAAGTGGGATCTTTTCTAATTGATCTTTTTACCTTTAAGTTGAAATGATGATCTCTCCTCCTATTGTGATCTTCTGATCCAAGTTTCCTCTCAAGTGTTCGCTCATTTTTAAACTTATTCACCGTACTCTGGGTGGTTCTTGAATTAACTTTGAAGATGGAAACCAGAGTATGAATGTTGCTACCATTACTGCAGGCCTGAATGATCTTTTTCCTTTCAGCATTGCTCAGTTGGGAAGATAGTGGGTCTGACACAACACGATTTTAACCTGTTCTCTTTCTAGCTGAATAACAAAGTGTTTTCAGTGATTCTGATGACAAATGGTGTCAAGATTGGTAAACGACTTATCTGAAAGCCTAGAAAAAAGAAACTCAATTAGTTTAGTGGATTTTTAGATATTAAACATTTTGTGGGATGCATAATTATACTGCAACACGATTTGGAAAATTTTGCTGTTATACCCGGTATATATATATATATATATATATATATATATATATATATATATATTATTTATTTCAAATACTACTTTTAGTCTACCTCGCTGCGTATTTATTTCGTCTCCTCGCTGAAAAAAAGTTAATGAAGAGCACGACCTCTCTGATCCGACGTGCTTTAAGTGCTCGGCCATAAAGAGCTTCCCAATAAAGCAAAGTTCTATTTTGCTTTTAAAGCACACTCACGTGTACAGATTTTCTCGAAAGGTATATCTGCCTAATTTCATAAGTACCATACAATTGCAACCTTACTTATTCTACAATTTTTCGATGACACAAAAGAAAGAGTACTAATATTCCCTATTCTTATATTTTCTTATATTCTTATAATATATTCTTATATATACATTTATATATATTTTATATTCTTATATATATTCTTTTATATATAATATATATATATATATATATATATATATATATATATATATACATATATATATATATATATATATATATATATATATATATATATATATTCTTATATTCTTATAGATTCTTATATTCTTATATATATTCTTAAATTCTTATATATATTCTTATATATATTTTTATATTCTTATATATTATCTTATTGTCATATATAGGCGCGTGGTTAGAACGTTCAGCATAAGGATCCTTTGAAAAGGGCATGAAAAACATACCACCGGTTAACCAATGCCTTGTGAGTGAAACTGGATAGACGGAACTGCTAGTCGGAGAATGGTCTTCAAACTGTTGATCACGCCAAATTATACGTTATCTCCCAGAAACTGTAGCTCAAGTCCGCTCTGCATAGCTACAGTATATAACCAGAGTTTGGCAGCTGATCTCTCATCTGACTTATCTTTAACGAGGTCAGTGGTGGGAAAAAATGGCTGGTCACATTCAATGCCTTGAAAATCAAACGAGTGATGTTCCATCATCAGCGAGAGAATTCTGAATTTTCGCCTATCGCGATGAACGGTTGCTCTTTCAGTGGGACTTCGTGCCTTGAGTGCCTATTGGGACTTATGATCAGTCCAGACCTCAAGTAGAACTCGTACATACGTACATTATTTATGGCCAAAGATGCTGGGAAAATGATCGGTTCTCTGTAACGTTCCAGTAAATACTTGACACCTCCAATTATCCTCTACCATTCATAAGAGTCGGATCAGGTCGAGAATGAAGTACTGTTGCCCCGTCTTCACTTTCCAGTTTCGATTGTCCAAAAACGTCTCTGCGTCCTTGTGGGTGATGAGTTATTTACCATCCTGTAACCACTTTCCCATAGACGAAACAAAGCCACTCGCTGCTCGATCGCTATTCCATGTATACCAAAGTATTCGGACGGACTACATAACTTAGTTCCACCATTTCCAACCTTCAAGGCTAAAAAGCCGCCATGTTACGAACATTGTATTGAACTACCCACATTCCTTTCTTTCTTATTTCATTGATGAAATGTAAATTGTACCCGAGCAAAATACAATCTTAGCCTGTTCAAGTCTAAAGCTAAGCCTTATCTTCCCCTACATACCCATAAACTGTGCCTTTATCTCTTACTCTGTAAACCCATAACTCGAGTGGCTGTTTGGCCTTTTACAGGGTGAACGTCATTATATATATATATATATATATATATATATATATATATATGTAAAGAAATATAGTTTGCTAGTGTGCTATATTTATGGGATAAAGTGCTCAATATCATAGATAGAGTGTATGTAAATATAAATATAAAAATGAACATTGAAGTCAACAGCCAGAGGCGACAGGCTGTTTCATACTGGACGCAATCGTCGGGCTGACGATTGCGTCCAGCATGAAACAGCTTGTCGCCTCTGAGCGTTGACTCCAATGTTCACTATATATATATATATATATTTGTATGTGTGTGTGTGTGTTGTGGAATAGGTCCGAAAGAGAACTCGAACTCAGCAATTTAGTGAAAACAGATTATTACCAAAAAGAACGAATACAAAAGTGTTGCACGTCCGACTGACGGCAAAGTACAGTAGTCAACTCATCAACTGTAGACAGCGATATTTAGTTCCCCCCCACGAGGGTTACATGTGGCACAAGGCCGGTTTAACGTGGGATCTCCGAGCCCGTAGGCTCGGCCAAAAATATTCCCTCTTTGAACCCGCATAAACGGGTTCAGGGGCAGTCAACCTCCCCGAACGAGACTCTGCCCTTCGACGGAGCCTCGTCCGGGTTCCTCTCCGTCCGAAGGCACAGAGTTCGACTGTTGAGCTGTAACAGGTCAACTGTAGACAGCTCTCTTGAGAGGCATAATCTCCCCGTATATGTAGTATTAGGACGAGTCCATTTAGTCCATAAAGATAGGTCCCATAACAATATATATATATATATATATATATATATATATATATATATATATATATATATTCTAAATTATTGTTCTCTTTTATATAAAAAATCAAAGTAGGGTCTGTAATGTAATCGATCCTGACCTGGCATCTCGACTTCAGGCACTTTCTCACTGGCGTGACGTGGTTTCCGTTTGTCATTTCTACAAATATTTATGTAGTATCTGATTTGATAAGCTTTTTCCTTAGTGTTCGAAGTTAAGGGTGCTACCAGATTAGAAACTAGACCTCCCTGTTTTACTGTTGAACTAGTTAGATGTATCCGTCTCTTCTGTTCTAAGAATTTCTTTTCTTGACAGTGGAATTCCCTTCCGATTTCTTGCTTCCCTGCCAACTACAATCTTTAAAAATTTAACGTCATTCACCATCTTCTGTGTTCCTGAAGCCTGTTCCTTATATTTTTCTTTCCCTTTCTCCTCGCTTCTCCTCACTGTAGTCTCCTCGTTCTCTTTCACTCCCTATCTCCCTATAACCACTAATGATTTTTGCCTTGCTTGGCGTGAAATGATTATATATATATATATATATATATATATATATATATGTATAATTTACCCTACGTCGTTAACTGGTTCCAAAGGTCATCACGACTTAGTTCAAAAAACGACTTAAGTCGAAATAACTTTACTATAAACCGCAAATAAGCACTCCCCATTGCTTATTACAATATTTATTATATTTACATACCGTATTCTAAATAAAATAATTAATGTACACCTTATCTTCCAGCGATATAGACTTACACTTAGCGTTAGCACTTATACAGGGACTTTTCTTCGGAGCCATGGGCAAAATGTATTCTAAATCATCGGTGTTGGAGCGTAAAACAACGCACGAGTGCCGCCTATGCATTTTTTTGCTTTTGATGTTTTTTATATATATATATATATTAGACATAATTTATTTTAATATGATTTTATGTGTTTATTGATATGTCAGTGTTTTAATTTTCTAATATTTTTAATGGCCGAAGTAAACTCAAGTAAAACTACCTAAGACGAGTTTTATTTTTCATATAAAATTTAAGAAAAACCGACGTATCTTTGAAAATGACTTAAGTCGAAACGACTTAATTCGCGGTATCACTGTATATATATATAAGAGATAACGATATATATTTCTATATATCAAGAACACTATTGAGGAAAAACGTATGATAAAGTGGAAAAAGTTTACTTGTGACTCGTTTCAGTCTGCTGAAGAAAGAACAAAACGCGTCACAGGATTTTTTTTACACTTTTTCTCACACACACACGCACATATATATATATATATATATACTATATTGCTCAATTTTTTAAATATTCTTCATGAACATTTTTGTTATGTAAAATTTGATTACTGTTCTTATATATTCTTGCACATTTGTGACAAGATAAAAGTGAATCTTATTTAATTTCAGGCATCGAA